CTTACAGAGGTATCTCTGTTTTATTTTTCTTTGAACTTTTTCTCTCCCAGGAATAGTCAGGATTCCCCTTAGTACTTGTTATATTCTGCTTGGTGTAAGTGTTCAGTAGCAGAAAGTTCCAGCTGATGGCTAAAACACTCTTATTACTACCACACATCGAGAAAAGGTGAAATGAACAAAAAACTTGTTTCCCTCCATCTCTGCGTAGTATATAACAAATTAGAAATAACACACACATGACGTAATCTAAATTTAGGAATTAAGAAAAATTTTTGTATGCAAAGAAGTATGGGGGCTTAAATTAGAGATGACTGGAAAATGAATGTATTTCTGTGATAATACTGTCAATTTAAGTTCAGTTATAAAACATGTTTAGAACATTCAGTGTATATGAAAAGTTGATTGCAATGTCTGAAATATCTCTAGTTTGAGAAAAGTAAAACCAGACTTCAGTTACAGGCATGCAAATGAGACAACCTCTGTTTCTGTTCCTCTCAAGTCTTTGTGCTTTATTCTTTGTGTCTGATGTTCATTTTTGGGGATTTTCTTGCAGTTTGCTTCCTAACCCTTGCACACTTTGAGTTTTTAGAAGAGTTCACAAAGAAAATGCCTTTACCAGTACGCTAGAAGTTTGCCAGTGATGTTTGTCTTCGGTGCTGTCATATTGGTCTGATTATTTGGCAATGATCTCTGTAGGGTTTTGTATGCCTCAGTGATAGAGTTTCATTTGTATACTGTCAGTAGGACTTCACAACACGACACAGAACTCTTTGAAGTTCTTGGTAATCATTTTTTGTTGATTGATGGGCTGGGTGAAGAGTTTGGGTCCAGGATGAGTCAATGGCCATCAAACCCTCCTCTTTTTCATTGCTGGGAAGACTACATCCTGGCTATTACAGAAAAGTCTATAAGAGTCTTTCTTTTGTTCAGTGGTCTGTGGGCTAACTCTCAATGAGACTGCGTGTGCACTTTTCCTCTTTTTAAATTGAAAAACCTGTTTTGTATGCTGATTCTGTTCATGTTGTTTGATTTCTGTGTTCTGTGAAATGGCTGCATTTCTTTGAGATGGTTTTCACTGCATTGGAAGGAGAATGTGCTTAAGTGTGGACATATAGAGAATGTAGAATAGCTCATAGAATCTCAGACTAAAAGGGAAAAACTGAAAAGGTATTGAAGTGTTTCTTCTAGAACATTCATAAGCTATGAGCAGTACATTAAAAATAACTAGTAAGCTTATACAAGCAGCTTTTGTAAATACAGTGTTTTGTAAATACGTAGTATTTTCCCCTGGGTATAGTGTAGTATTGATTGATTCTTTAGAATATACATGTCTACAAAGCCTGTATTATCTGCCCTGTTAATGAATACTATAAAGTAATAAAATAAATGTAGCTTTGTACTTCACATTTTGTGTGAAGGAACACTTGTGCTGTTCAATTTGATGTAGTGTTAATGAAGGGGAGGGTTCAAATTTCAGCGACCTGGATTTTCTGTTTATAGTCTTCCCTATGTAAGAAGGGAAGGCATTCTTTGCAAGCTTCTCTAAATGAGAGGTGACGTTAACAGGTAACAAATTTTATATGTCTTTATTTCTGTACTCAATATTTAGAATTGAGCTATGTTATTAAAAATGTTAAATACGGTGTTACACAACTTAGCCTTTTTTTCATATAACTTCTAAACACCTGTGATATTTTCTTAGTATCTGAGTTGATGTAACCTGCCAAAATAGTTCTCTTGATAGTTCTATTATAAGACTATCAGTTCTGTGTACCAAAAGTAATAAAATACTCTACATGTTTAGATGAAGAAGATGACTTTGTCAATAAAAGAATTTCTCTGAAGCCAAAAGAGAATGGGACATCAGCAATCAATTGTCCAGGAACAGCTACAGTGAAAAAGGAAGATGTAAAACCACGAGCTAAAAGCAAACCATTATCTCCAGTGAAACAGACTCCCACCTCAGCACTTGATTACTTTGGGACAAGTAGTGTCCAGCGATCAGAAAAGAAACTAGTAGCAAGTAAAAGGAACGAAGTGAGTACTGATGATGTTGCTGTAGGCTGCTCATGTGTCCGACAGCAGATCAAAGGGTCAATTTAATGACTGCAAGGAGATACTTTAATTTCTTGTCCTACTTAATGTTACTTTTTAATGACCACTGAAGTATAAGTGATATGTGCAGGCATATTAAGTCCTCAAAAGCAAGTTTAGAGTAGCATTTCCATGTTTGAGAATATAGTACAAAGCTGAAAGTAGTATTTTTCCCTTTTGCTGCTTCTTAAGTGACTTTCCTTAAGTATTTTTCTGAGATTAGTGAGTGGATGGAGGAGTTTATAGTTGGCAGTGGAGGGCAGGAGGTTTTCTCAAGCTATATGCCACATATAGAATAAAAAAGTACCAAATAAAGTATGGAGGAAATTAACAATTCACCATGTAGTTACTGTTTTCTTTCAAGCAGGCCAACAGTGATAACTTCAGAGATGTTCAGCATTGTTAGAAGAAATTAGGTATTCATATTACAGCATGCAAAATCTTGTAAACAGCCTTGTTTAATAATGTTTAGGTTAGAGAGCTAGGAATAAAATGCTGCATGTCTCATTCCCGGTCCTTTTCTAGAAGTATACAGAATGAATCTGTATAGATTAAATATTTATACTTTACTCAATATTGGGGAAACTGACTGAACTGTTGGTCTTTTTTTTTTTTTTTTTTTTTTTCTTAAATATAGCCTTCGCAAAGCAGAGACAGTACACTAAATGATGAGGCCATTGCTAGGCAACTGCAGCTTGAAGAAGACTCAGAGGTAAAAGCTCTCTAAATCTGCTGCTTTCTACAAAGTGCAGTTTGTTTAACTTAAAATTGGTTTTTGTTAAGAAATTAAGATGGACTTTCCGTGTCTGCTATAAGTAAGTGTTATAAAATTCATCTGTATACTTAGGTTGAGCACATGCATGCAAACAAAGTCACACAGTTATTTTTATGGGCATTATTTCAGTTAAATAATCGGGACATTTTACTTAATCTGCCATCTGTCTATCCAGACTTTCTCTTACCTGTGCAGATGATGAGTTGATATGTCTATAATACTGCTGCTTTTGACACAGAATTCATGTTCGGCATCCTTCTTCCTCCCCTTCCAGTTCCCCCTTTCCTATTGCTTGGAGTGAAAATTAAGCCTTTGCTATCCATGATTTGTTTCATTTGTCACCATTCTTGTAGTTAAGAAAATTTCCTGTTTGAATTAATGCTAGCATGAGGGAAAGGTACTCTTGCCATACATATTTACTTGCTTTTGGGGAAAACAGTTTATTTCCCATATATTGATAATATTGAGTATCACTTGAAATAAAAATACATGCAAAATTTAGTCTCATTCTTGACCCTCCCAGAGGTGTAATGAATCTAGCTTTAATTCTTTAGAATGGAAACAACGTGTCAGGAAAAATAAGGTGTTGCCTTTCATTTGAACTGAACATGAAATCATAGAATGGTTTGGGTTGGAAAGGACCTTAAGGTTATCTGGTTCCAACCCCCCTGCCATGGGCAGGGACGCCTCACACTAAACCATGTCACCCAAGGGCTCTGTCCAGCCTGGCCTTGAACACTGCCAGGGATGGAGCATTCGCAACTTCCTTGGGCAACCTATTCCAGTGCCTCACCACCCCCACAGTAAAGAATTTCTTATGTCTGACCTGAAATTCCCCTGTTTAGGCTTAAACCTATTATCCCTTTTCATGTCTGTAACTCTCATCATCTGTATCAAAGGATACATCAAAGGAATGTATTTTATTTCAGATGTATCTCTTCTTCAGTCTGGTTTGCATTTGGTAGTTGCTGCCCTTCCCCTCTCTTACTGTACACAAGGAGGATAGATGCATTTCATTGTTACGGGCACATAAAAATAATGCCTGTAAAAGTAATCTGTTTGATTGTCCTGAAACCAGGACAGTCTTCTAGCACAGCATGTTGATTTTCAAGACAATTAGGAAAGGATTTTTGTTGTTGTTTTGTTAAAAGAATGGTCAATATTTACTGGCATCAATATAAACTATTCAGCATTAGAGGAAGTTTTTCCCAAGGGACAATATTGGATAGGAAAGGTAACTTGATGATCAGTTGTCACTGTAGAGGTAACGTTTATTTTGTTACGTGAAATAAAAAATGAAACTAACCCGGATTTGTTTTTAACAAGTAATAAGTAACTTTCTCTTATTTCATGTGCACTATTTGTTCTTACTGGTTTTTCTGTCAAAGATAATCACTTGTGTAAGTAGAAGTATTAAAAAGTAAAAGTGCATTTTTGTCCATGAAGTAATTGGAACTGGCAACATGACCTGGGCCAAGGGCAGTACCTAAATTCTCCAAAACTGCCAGAATTTTTTTTTCATGTATGTAAATAAGAATAAAACATTCATTACTGAGATATCAGAATATTTAGCAGGCATTGTTTCTACTTGACTCTTGGGACTGCTTTTGGAAGTTTTCTAAAGCCAACAGGTTGTATCTTGATGCACACTGGTTGTTGTCAGATCCTGCCTTCAAGTTTTGGTATTTTTGTTTTTTAAACGAAAAGGACATACAACAATGAAGGAACAGAAAACCTCTTTGAAAACGGATAATATGGGCTTATTAATGTTTCTAGTGCAACAAACCCGAACTCTACTTTTCTCGCTAGACTTCAGGCTCTTTTTGGGGAAATCAAGTAATTCTTTTTGCCATTTTCAGAAATTTGACTCTGGTAGGATGCACTTTTTCCGGCTGTGTGCTGCCTTATTGTAGTTAAAGTTTCTGTCTTTAATAGCAAATAGAGTTCTAAAAAATTGTAGTAGAATTAAAACTTGTCAGACATCAGCCTAAAAAATCTTTTATTTATTTATTTATTTATTTTTAGCTGGAGAGACAGCTGCATGAAGATGAAGAATTTGCTAGAACTTTGGCCATGTTGGATGAAACACCACAGAAGAAAAAGGTTGAATTCTTAATTCTTTTTAATTTTTATTTTTAAGAATTTGGATCACAGGGAGTATTCTTATTTAGACACCTAACCTTTGGTTTGAGACTTCCATACAAATGCATTAAAAACATCAAGAAAGTATTTGCTTTTCATGCTTTCCTCCTGGATTTTCCTCATTCAGTGAATAGTGTTCTTCCCAATCGGACAACAGGCATTATTGTACCTTTGTGCTGTCTGCTTCTGCTGAAATGGAATTTTAATACCAAGTTCTAATATTTAATACCAAGTATAGTATTTGCTGGGCTGTACATCAAGGCTCTTAGAATTTAGGATTGCTAATATGAGTTTAGCAAGTTTTAATACTTCTAGGGTAATCAGGATTCAAATTTTTTGTAACCTGGAAGTTTGTCTGGCCTTTAACTTTAGGAATTTATGTGCATGGCTGAGTTTAGAATCGGCTTATCTGCCTGCTTTTGATAGAGATTGTATTCTGACTTGTCCTAGGGATCAGCTTTGTTAGATGTCATTCAGTCTGTTGTACTTAACAGTAGGGAAACTCGGGGATCTGGACTTAATAGTAGCTTGGGACATGCATCTCTGACTTTGGCATTGTGTGTTTATTTAGGCTCGTAAAGATTCAGGAGGAGGACAAACAGTATTGAGCATCAAGAGCAGTCCTAATGTGACAGAAAAATATAAGCAATTGGACAGAGGTAGGATGCAGAATATAGAAAATATTTCACCAATTTATAATATTAATGAGATCCATTCTTATATATGTGCTCTCCTACCTCTGCCTCTTTTCAAGTGAAAGCAACAACCTCGACGGGTGAAGCAGAAAATTGTGCTGTGAAGCAGCAGACTAAATCCGAACATTCAAAAGGCTCTCGTTTTGCCTCACAGTCATCTGATGGTGGAATAGCAAGAGAGTTGACAGATAAGACCTTGACTTTGAAACCTAGCTCTAGGCTTGCGTCTCTGAAACAAAAAGAAGAGATTGCTGAAAAGGAAAGAGGTGCTCGAAGTTTAATAACAAAAGAAAAAACTGCTTCAAGGAAAGAAGAGAAGACAACACCAAAGAAGGAGAAAATTTCTCCCAAGAAGGCTGAGGTAGGAGCTGTCAAAGTGAATTTAGTTGCCAGGAAATGCCAGCATTTTTTGCAGGAAAATAGTTTCCATTTACTACTGTTTATATGTCATACATCTTACATATGTTATACGTGCTATATGTTGTAACTTGGTACTTTGACTCTTCTGGGCAATTTTTAAGAATATGAATTCTGCCAAGCTTCTCGTTCCCAGCAATGTAAAAATGTAGGAAAAAAATAGCTGGAAAAGTGTTGCACGTTAATAGATCAAAAACAATCTCACATTTTTCTTTGGTGCATAAAAATGTATTAAACTGTGATGCTTGAGTTTATTTTGTTGGTTTTGAATATGTGATATGCGTATAACTTGTTTTCTCTCCTGCCCAAGTCTGTAAGTCCTGAGGACTCTGAAAAGAAGCGAATCAATTACCAAGCCTACCGAAGCTTCCTTAATCGCGAGGGCCCAAGAGCGCTGGGCTCCAAAGAGATACCGCAGGTAAGTTTGGCTGCACTAGAATTCTGTATGTAGAGCTGGAGTGGATCACAGACTTACTGTTAGAAGTGGTCTAACAAGGATCAATTAAACTGCTTAAAAACTGGTATCTTTTTCTAATAGGGAGTATGTGTTGGAAGAAGCTAAATTGTAATCCAAAGCAGTGACTAAATATGAGGAAATATACTAAGAAATTAAATTCAGTACTTGGTTCATGAAGTCATGATGATGAATAATAGTTACTGATCTTAAAGTTGGAAGATTGCTGTCGCTTTCCTTTTAACAGCTTTTGAACTTTTAGAACTAGTACCTAGGTAGGTATGATAGGCTTATTTTTGAAGTTTCATGGGGTATTTGACATAGTAGGGGGTTAAAAAAGCTCATGGTGTAGAGGTATTTGGTAGAATTGCATCGAGTAATGCCATTTTCTGCAATGTTCTGGTTCTTAGGGAGCTGAAAACTGCTTGGAAGGCCTGACGTTCGTAATTACAGGTGTTCTGGAGTGTATTGAGAGAGATGAGGCCAAGTCTCTGATTGAACGTTATGGAGGAAAAGTCACTGGCAATGTCAGCAAGAAGACAAACTATCTGGTTATGGGGCGAGACTGTGGCCAATCTAAATGCGAAAAGGTGAGTGTTCCTGTGCCTGAGCGAAGGAGAAGTGAAACTCTGAATTGTTCGTATCTGACTGATTTTCAATATCTCTGACAAAATAAAGCAGTACTACAAATAAAGTACATGTTGAACAGAAAGGGTTGTCTAATGTTTTAGGGCTTGGTTTTCTTTTTTTATATATATATGTATATACACATTGTATGTGTGTGTGTATATAGATGTATGAAAACCTTTTTATTTATTGTGTTCCTAAACATAGTCTTTTCTGGAAAACACTTCTGAATTGAATTATGTAACTCCTAACTTTACTTGACTTCACTTTTAATTCTTACTTTCGCTCCAGGCATCAACTTTAGGGACAAAAATTGTTGATGAGGACGGCCTGTTTGATCTCATTCGAACTATGCCAGGCAAGAAGTCCAAATATGAGCTGGCGGCTGAAACAGAGGTATGTTTATAATAAATTTAGGTTTGGATTTTGGTTTTGGTTGGGGCTTTTTGGTTGGTTTTGGAGCTTTTTTTTTTTTTTCCCTTTTTTTTTTTTTTTTCTTTTGGTTTGCTTTTAATTGAAGGACATTTTGGTCTTCTGTCCCAGTACCAGTAACCCTATGACTGTCTGTTCCACCTTCTAGGTTAAAAGTATTGAAAGTAGAAAATTTATATTTTAAGACTTCTTCTTGGGGGCCGCAGGGGTTTTTCCCACCTTTTATTTTTATAGTCTGGCACTATTCCGTACTGAGGGAGTGACTTTATCTCCTTAGATGGTTTCAGTTTTAAACTTTGACTGTCTCTCTATTCTTTGAAATAAGTCATTGTGACTTGGTATCGTGTGGTACCTGACTTGTCCAATATGAACCTGTACTGTAAACATGGGACACTTGTATGTAAACTATGTGTATACATAACAGATTCTGTCCTTATGTGGTACTTTAGTAATAGTAAAGGTGTAAATTTTTCAGGGAATGCTGTAAAAACAGTAACAAGTTTTTTTTAATGCACATTTAAATTCGGTCTGTTGTGGCTAATAAAATATTAAAATCTCCATTAGCTCTAGCATGATGTGCATTTAGTGTAGCCAGTAGCCATTGCTTTGGTACTTCTGATGTGGCTAGGCATGAATTGTTGCATATAAAGATACTATTGGTGTCTTCAGGAAAAGCAACTCTAAGCTTACTATCTAATTATTTTCCCTCTGAAGTAGAGGTGCTGTTTTGCAAGAGCTTCATGGGTGTCTGGTCAGTTTGTTCCAACCTGACAGCGATCAGGTTTGAGTTATTTTTTTTTAATGGTGCATCAGGCTTGGTGTGTAAGGAGACTGCTCTTGGAATGGCCAGGACATTTCCTGACTCTTATTTGTGGTTTGTGCTACAGAAGGAGGTGGCATTGTATTTAACAGTGGTTTATTTTTCAGAGAGGACTATTTCTTTATTTGCTCTTGAAGATTTTGTTATTACATAAGTTTTGTTACTTTCTTAACGGCCCATTTATTTACTGTACGGGATTTTTTTTTTTTTTTTTTTTTTTTTTTTTTTTTTTTTTATTTTAATTTCCCTTTAATTTTCTTACCTTTACTTTCCTAAGGCAAAGAAAGCGGAGTCAAGACCTAAAAAGACACCACAGAAAGCTAAAGCTGGAAAGAGGAATTTTAGCCCCATCAAAGGGGAAACTGGTAATAAAAAATACAAATCTACTCCTGAAAAAGGAGATACCGTCAAATCTGCCAGGAAAGAAACCACTGCTGTGCGAAAACTTACGGACTTTAAAAGGCAGACTGAAGAGAAGAAAGAAGCCCCCTGTCTGAAGGGGAACTTGGGTTCTGAGATTAATGAAGGTGGGACAGAGAGATTGCTATGGGTGGATAAATACAAGCCTGTATCTCTTAAGGCACTAATTGGACAGCAGGGTGAGCAAAGCTGTGCAAATAAACTGCTCCGATGGCTCAGAAACTGGCACAAGAATACCTCGGAAGATGAACAAGGTGACCAGCATGGTTAACTTTTCTCTGTTTTCTCTGTGTTCCTTCATGCCAATCACACTGATTGGTTCCCTGGACCAATATGGGCCTTTGAGATAGCAGAGCAGCTCTAGAAATCCGGAATGAGGCTGCAGTTGCATGAATTTTTAGCAGCAGTTGAACCTGAGGTTTATTTTGTTGAAGTCGTTGTTCACTTACCACTCCCCACCCCCCAAAACAGAACAGAAAACCATGCCTTAAAATGGCCTGTTGAATTATTTCTTACCAAGAGAATGCTGGCCAGCGTTAACGTGTCTGTACACATGATGGAAATACTGGACAGGACAGCATCGTGTCTGAACTGCTGCTGTTATGTATGGGGAAGAGATGAATCGTTAAGGTCATGGTTCTGCCTGACATGTATGACAACTCCATGTCATGTGTAGTGTGTCATCCTACGGACAGTTTTTTAATGTGTTTAAAATAGTGTTTAAGTTTCACTTCGACCACAGTGGGATTTTTCTGTGTGGTGTGTTTGGGGTTTGGTTTAGTTTGTTTGGGTGCACGGTTTGGCTTCTATTTTTTTCTACTATTCTGTGGTTGTGAGGAAATTGCTGAAATAGTTGTATTACATTCATAGCACTTTTCTAATTACCAGTTTAGAATCACTGCAGGTCTTAAACTAAGATGGTTTAAGCTGCATTTCCCCAAATAGTTAGGATGCAGATGTACATGAATTTCTTTGATGTTGATATCAGGCCTTAAATGAGGAAAAACTCCAGTGATGTTTGATATTTTTATAAGTATGCAGTTTGTTTTGTAATATATACCTAGGTTAAAACCTGGAATCTTCTTTTATAGCAAAGAACAGTAAAACTGGAGGCAAAGATGATGGTAGTAGTTTTAAAGCAGCATTACTTTCTGGTCCACCTGGTGTTGGTAAAACTACTACAGCTTCTTTGGTTTGTAAGGTGAGTTCATATTGACACATGTTCCCAGCATGTTTTGTTCTGTATTGATTCAGTATCTGGGTACGGGTATGGTGTGCAGATGGGCATTCCCTGAACGACCAGCATCTGCCCCCAGCCTAGTTCTGCCTGCTCAGAACATAGTTACACGTGAAAATACATGGAAGTTTAGATACCTTTATATCAGGTCTGGGGTGAAAGTATAGTAATGGGTGTCTGCATTTCTGTTATGTTGAGAGGAAGCATGTCACAGTGTGCTGAACAACTGAAAATAGCTTTCAAAACCTGAGTGTTCAGCACTAGCTCTACAAGTCAGAGAATGTTTGAACTGAATGTAGTGGGAGTCAAATTTTGGCAAACTTTTTGAAAGACTTGGTCACAGCTTTTATATATCTCACAAAGATAAGTTTCCCAGCCTCACTCTAAATTGAACTACTACTTTGGGATGAGGGAAGTTGACAGTACTATGTGACCATTTCTAAATCTGAATTTAGAAATCAGTTTTTCCTAACTTCCTTGAACACTGTGTTCCACTAACTATGCCATGGGAATCAGCTGAGGCCTCCATATTGTAGAATTGCCATTAATGCTAACTTATTAATAGTGCTGTTGTAACACTTTGCAGAGTATTTTTGTTCTCTGAATTACAAGAACTTTTTAAAAATAGGGTATTGTCAGCTTGGAAGGGTTCCGAAGAGCTATTGTCACGTATCTGATCTCTGTGCTGGGAAGGAGTGATTACATACCACAATATTTGAGTTGTACAAAGTAACTCCCAGTCCTCTGCCTTGGCCTCAAAGGTGTGTGCTAGCAAACTGGTGCCGCACCCAAAACTAGACCTACAGAAAAGCTGGATGTGCTTACTTGCGCTCATTTCTGCACTATTGTGGTCTTCTCTGCTTCTGGTTTCCAGCCTAGCTTGCTCACAGTTGCTTCATTTGCAGAGCGTTTCACTGTGCCCCACAGGAACATCTCCCAGAACAGGGTTGTTTAAACTGAAAGACTAAGGCTGTGTGCAGCTCACTGCGGTGCTGGGGCATGGCCCTGGCAGGGGAGTTTTCTGGTAAAGGAGTGGATGGGTTAAGTTATTTCAGGGACTGACACATAGCCCAGCCCTGTTCTGAAGTGTTCAGACTGCTGGGGGAGCCATGCATTTCCTAGCTGTTAAATAGTTAAAAGCTTCTCTTTCCTTCAGCTTCTTTGTGTGTAAGACTTTGATATGCAGCTGGAAATACTATGGAGCTTAGGCAGCCTTGGCTGCCTTTCTATCCCTGGTGGCAGTTCTGTTCATCTTCCAGAACTAAGTTTGTGCTGACTTCCTCCCTTTCCCCCATCTCCCAAGTTGTCATTTGGGCATATCTGATCTGTGTGTGGTTGTGAGCATTTTTGGAGTGCAAGAGAAAAGGAGTATAAGAGGAGAAAGGAATCAAAGCCACAGGTTAGATGTGAAAATAGTGTTTTAAGAGCTTTCTTCTGGAACACTGAAACACTGTTACTAACTCTGAATACACGTATGCTTTCACTGATCTGTGTTGTCATTTTTTGTATGGTTTTATGTTTGGACTAGGAACTGGGGTATAGCTATGTGGAACTGAATGCCAGTGACACTCGCAGTAAGAACAGTCTGAAGGAAGTAGTTGCTGAAACACTTAACAACACCAGCATCAAAGACTTCTGTTCTGGTATGTCTGTTGTTTGAAGGAGGACTTTTGTTTTGTTAAGAGTCCGGTTACAGGAGGGACAGAACTTCCGTATTGCACAAGCGTTAGGAATTTAACTTACTCGTCACGTGGAGAGATCTGGCTGTAATAAGGATGGCTTCATTTAATAAGCTGTTTTATTTCATCTTCAATTGTAGAATTAAATCCTGCTATTAGTAGAATAAGTTGTTAATCTGCACAAACTGCCCAAGAACTCTGCAGTTGCTTTTCTGTTGCATGGCACTTGTTTCTTGGAAGATGACATGAGGTTATAGTCAGTTCTGTGCTGTGAACATAGATTCAGGTGATCAGGTGGCAGAGCAAGAGTTTCACCTCCACCTCAGTTATCTTAAGATGGGGTTACCTAACCTATAAAGCATTATGTGAAACTCTAAGCAAGTCCATATTTTATTTCCATCTCATTTTTTTTGTCCATATTCATTTTCAGGCACATCCTCATCAGTTAGCGGGAAACATGTATTGATCATGGATGAAGTGGATGGTATGGCAGGCAATGAAGACAGAGGAGGGATTCAGGTGAAACTGCTATAGTTATTAGCTAATGCCATTGCTGAGAGGGCATACCATATATAGCATAAACTGTTTCAAGCCACTCTGGTGTTCTCAACCCATGGTCTGTAGAAAGTCTCTGTGGAGTGCAGTTTATTTGACCTCTTTTAGAAGTCTGTCTTTGTAAGAAGAATTATGCACTGGAAGAAGAGGGAAAAAAGATACCTCTGTAAAAGAAACCTGTAATGATGAACACAAAAGTGTGTGCACTTTTGATGTTTATTCCTGGACAGGTTAATTGATCCTAAACTCTGTAGCTGACATCTAACTGCAGTGGGAGGCTTGTATTCTGGTTAGGGCAGTTGCTCTCTTCAGGAGGCAGTAACACTGAATAAATAATGTGGCACAGGCAGTATTATCCTTTGTTCTCCTTAGCAGCTCCAGTGTTAGCTTGTGAAGAATTCCTGTGATCACATGCAGTACTTTGACAAAAACATATCTTCAGCTCAGATGGAGATGTTTACATTGCAGCAATATGAAACTGAACTGAATTTCACCTTATTAGAGCAGGCAAAATTTGTTCTGGTAAGCCTAATAATCCTGAAGCCTCAGGGCTGAGCTCTTTGGACAGGGAAGTGCTGATCTTTTTACTTCCTGCTTCTTCATTGTTTATGGCAGGGTGCAGTCAGAAAGATGTGTGCTCCCTCTGGGTACAGGCCAGGTCAAACTGGCCTTTAGACAAATGAACCTAGCTCTGTAGGTGAACAGCTCTATTCTGGGCTATTGATCTTCATTGTTTCATGAAGAACAGGCCAGACATGATTGCTGGGAGTAGATAGTGCAAGTGAGTAGACAGAAGATTTATTGCAGCTGAATAGATAGCAAGCAGAAGTAGGAGAGGGGCTGGGTTTTCACTGTGTAGAAACATGATTGTAATAGGAGTTCTATAGACTTGCACCTTTCAAGGGTCTGATTTAAGGCAGGGACAAATGCTGCTTGGTATGACAGTTTAATCATTCTTGTTTTCCAAGCTATCTGATGTAATTGTTGTAATGTGTTTAAATCACAGGAGTTGATCGGTTTGATTAGACACACAAAGGTCCCCATCATCTGTATGTGTAATGATCGCAACCATCCTAAAATTCGTTCCTTGGTCCACTACTGTTTCGATCTTCGTTTTCAGAGACCTCGTCTAGAACAGATAAAGGTAAAAAGGCTGTGGCTGTGTGGGCTGCATTGAATTACCATCAGTAACTTCTGTCTTCATGTGGCAGAACTTACACAGAATTGGAAATACCACCTAAAACTTAATGGATCACCTTAGTGAGTAACTCTGCTTTTCAAAATGGGTTGTCTGAGTTTTTCTTCCCAAAGAATGAAGTATCCCAAAGCCTTTCACATTTTAGAAGTCTATCTTAAATACACCCAAAGATATTTTTTGTGCTTTTTTTACACCAATGACAAGGGATGACTTATGTTTGAGAGAACATTTAAATTATATGTGCTTTAAAAACTGAGAGGGGTGTGATAATGCTCTTTCATAGAGGTGTCAGTGTGTTCTGTAGGGGTAAGAACTCGTGAATTCTCTAATGTCAATTAATGTGTGTATTGCAGGGTGCCATGATGTCTATAGCATTTAAAGAAGGTTTAAAAATTCCACCACCTGCTATGCAAGAGATAATCCTGGCAGCAAATCAGGACATCAGACAGGTCAGTGCCAATTAAGCATCAGTGTCTATCAGATAGCACCTCATGTACTCGTCCTTGACTTCAGCATAGTATTTGAACAGTATTATGATTTTTATGTGTAGAGATGAGACTTTTTTTCTGCTTATTTCATTTAAATGCTACCAAATTGTAAATTTTGCTCTTTAGGTTTTACATAATCTTAATATGTGGTGTGCAAAAGATAAATCATTGACTTACGATGAGGCTAAAACTGATGCCAGCAGAGCCAAGAAGGATATCAAACTGGTAAGTGTAAAATACTGGATTGGCTTTTACTGTCATATTCTGATATAATTGCTAGGCTTTATAAGCATCTTCTAAAGCACAACAGCCTAGATGCAAGGAGCTGTCAAATTTGCCACAGACAGGTGAAAAACAGTAAATCCAGGAGTGAATATATATTTTGGTGTTGGTCTCTTATGTAAGATACAATTATGAAGCTCATACTTCTCATTCTAAGTCCTATATTTTGGAGATAATTCTCTTAATATCAGAAGTAAAACAGAATTCTCAAAACTGGTGAAGTGCTAGGGAGGAAATACTGAACATTGAATTTGTACTGATGAGTCCAGGTATCGTTGGGTACCATCACTAAAGTACTTTCATTGATACTGTGATGTGTCTTGTTGTTTCTGTTGACCTGCAGCCCACTGACTTTGTGAAATACCATTTATTTAGGGCCCCTTTGATGTGGTCCGGAAGGTTTTTGCTGCTGGAGGTGAGGCTTCTCGTATGTCTCTCATAGACAAATTGGATCTTTTCTTCCATGATTATTCCCTAGCACCTCTCTTTGTCCAGGAGAATTATGTACACATGAGACCGGCTGCTGCTGGGTAAGTTATTCCATTCCCTAAATTGACACAGGCTTTTGTGTCGGGGAGTAAAACTAGACTAAAACCTGTCTGGGTATTTCTTGTTTGTAACACAGTCAACCTGGTTTGTTTGGTTTTTTCCAGAGGAGATCTGAAAAAGCACTTGGTGCTCTTGAGCAGAGCAGCTGATAGTATCTGTGATGGTGATATAGTGGACAGGCAGATTCGTAGCAAGCAAAACTGGAATCTTCTTCCAACACAGGTGAGTGCTTAACACTGATTTTACGTCCTTTATGGGTGTCCAGTGTAAAAGACTGATCTATTGAAATTGATGCTTCAGAATAACTTTCATGATCCGTGAAATTCATGCTTCATGCAGTATTCCCTCTGTTGCTGGTGAGAGCAGTTTCCTGTATTCATATTGTTGAACCCACACCGTATCTTGAGATGAAGTCTTCTGAGACTTCCAAAAGCTTGTCCCATCGTTCTGAAGCATAAGAGCACATGGCACACACCACTTCTGACATGCAGCTATGAGTCTACTCTGTTTTATGTGATTCCTGTCCCGCCTCTCACCAGGCTGGTATCTCTCCCAGAGCACAGAGGCCTGAAGCTTTGTCACTGTACTCTTCAGTGATCACTGAAACACTGACAGGATTTGCGAGTAAAGGATTATGACTGGCATCAGAGAATGTACTGTAGATTAAGTTGGGAGGGGTCTCCAGAGTTCATCCTGGTTCACCCCCTGCTTACTGAAGGTGCAGACGGACAAGTTGCCTAGGAACTTGCCTGGCTGAGTTTGTGTAGATTCGTGGTGTTCTTCAGAAATGTCTCCTTCAGCAGGTCTGTCTGTTGGAGATGACAGCAGTTGTTTGTGTGGTCAGCTGTCTGGCTGCACTCTGAACTGCATGTGGAAACACAGGTGTGCTTTTTTAATGGCTTTTAAAACAGAGAGAGCTTCACAGATATTTTAGAACATGGTAACAAACAGGGCAGTACAAGAGATGAAGTTGTACCCTAAGAGGGGTTGAAGGGAAACAAGCAACCAAGAAAGAGTTCTCTTAAAATAAGCTCTTTCCACTGTGGAACTGTAGTGATGACTCCTATTTCATGTGGACAAGTGTGTCAGTGAGAGTAATTCACTGTGGTTTGAGTTGGGCATGTGTGTTACTTTTTCAGGCTATTTATGCCAGTGTTCTCCCAGGAGAGCTGATGAGAGGTTCCATGTCCCAGTTTCCTGTCTTTCCCAGCTGGTTGGGGAAATTTTCATCCACGGGTAAACATGATCGTATTATTCAAGAACTGGGAATGCACATGAGTCTCAGGTAATACTGACATTCTTCTGATTTATGTCAAATATACATTATATATTTAGTTCTCGTCTAGTTCATTACCTGACATTAATTCCTTGCTGTGGTACCAACTTAATATGCAATCTGTGAATATACTCTTAAGTTGCTGGCAACACTTTCTTAGTGCTTAATCTGGTCAACCATCAGACCGCAAATACTTGTAGTGAAGTCAGCAGCAGTGTGACTCCCCTCTGCCCTGAAATTGTTGTTTCTCAGTCAGGGATGTGTTTTTCCCCAGGCTGGTGTTTGAATACCTTGTGTCCGTTATCCCTAGTGCAGGAATGGCACAGCACCACTTGCAGTTATTTCTCAAGGCAGTTGAATGTCTATTTGCTGAGGGCCTTACCTACAGGTTGCTTGTGTTTAGAAGTGAGTAGTGGTGGTGTACACGTTCACTTACTACTTTTATTTGGACAAAGAACCCAGACGGGCAAGAGGACAGTAAATATGGAGTATTTGTCGTATTTGCGGGATGCGCTTGTCCAGCCCTTGAAAGACTTTGGAGCTGATGGTGTACAGCAAGCTATAACCTTCATGGACTCTTACTGCTTGATGAAAGAAGATATTGAAAATATCATGGAAATAAGCATGTGGGGAGGCAAACCCAGTCCCTTCTCAAAGCTGGATCCCAAGGTAAAACTCACTAGTGAATTTCTTTTTCTTCAGTATCTTTAAAAAGAAATCATAGAGTAATAGCTGTGGTATGGATGTGCTCCTGAAAGGCTGAAGTAGATGCAGCTGCTTAGTAACCGTAACCTAATTAATGGTATTCTTCGTAAATCAGTAAAATGTACTACTAAAGGTTCAGGAGTATTCCTAAAAAATAGTCAGGCCTGCTTCATTCAGGAGTCTTACACCTGTTGTTCCTGCTGTGAAGGAGTGCTGGGAGCCAGCTGTGTCTGGGGAATAGAAGTGGAACAGGGAAAGCTGGTACCTTTCTACAAGTGAGCCCCTGGCTATAAGCAGTGTCACCCCTTCATGCACAGCGCTGCTTTTCTCACCAGTGCGCGAAGGAGGAAGGATGCACCATGTTTGTTATGGTCTGGGCACTGAATTAGGAGCCTGGCTTGCAGCTTGCGTCTCTCGCAGTCCAGTTAGACTGAGCTGCCCAACCTGGGGGGAATTGTGTGGTGCCCCTCCAGAATCCAGCTAGTCCACTCCAGTAGCTGTGACCTCACCTGGTGCAAGGTGAGCTTAAGCTTAAGTCCCTGCTACAGACTAGGCAGGTGTGAGAGCTGAGCCCATCCCCATCTCCCCCATCCCAGGTCAAGTCTT